TCTTCCTCTCCAAAGACAACATTTTATTTCCTCTTTGTAATCAATCATGAGGAGTCAGGCCAGATAGAGACAAGGAAAGCACAGTTGCCACTCGTGTGCATTTCTGTCTAGGCTTCCCTCTCAGGAGTTCAGCACTCACTGAGCTTTGTCCCCTGGGGTTGCCTGGGCTCTGGCCCAGCAGTTACCTTAGTTGAGAAGGCCCCTTACCTCTCAGCCATCCTTCTCCTTGTCCCAACTTGTGTTTATACTCCAGAGCTCTATATGGGTTTCTTATTCTCTCGTAATTCTTCATACCTCCTGTCTGGATTGGATCCTTCATGTTCTCAAAATGCTTTGTGCTTCACCCATTGAAGGATGACCCCACCCGACTGTAATTATCCCCTTCCACACCACTCTCTTGTCTCCTCCAGAAACTGATCAGCTCCCTGAAGACAAGTGCCAAGCTTGTCCCTCCAGCCTCAGTACTCTGTGTATACATCCAACATAATTTGCTACTTGAACAAATTAATGTATCTTTACATAGAACAGGGAAGTACTACTGCATCAAAACTAAAGGTATAGTCTTTTGCCACTTTCTAGCTGTGTGACTGGGAGTAAATTAATACTCTGAGACACAATTTTATATTCCGTAAAATAGGAATAATACGTTTACCTGCTTCATAAGTACTACAGTTTGAATGTGCTCCCTCCAAAATTCAGGTGTTGCCAGTGCAATAGTATTAGGAGCTGAAGCCTTTAAGAGGCAATTAGGCCATGAGGACTTCCCTGTGAATGGGATTAGCCACCTTATAAAAAGGCGTATGGAGGAAGTTTATCCTTCTCTTGCCTTTCTGCCTCCTACAATTTAAGGATGCAGCAAGAAGGCCCTCACCAGATGCCAGCACCTTGATCTTGGACTTTTCAGCTTTCAGAGCTGTGAGAAATAAATTTCTGTTCTTTGCAAATTACCTAGTCTCAGGTATTTTATCACAGAAGCACAAAACAGACAAAGGCACTGGGGGAGTTTCAAGAATGTAATTAGATTTTCCACATTAAAAACATGAAGCACTAAATTACCACTTGTAGGATATACTCAAAGAATGTTATATATGATAACAATGATGGTAAGAGTTACCAATAGCTATGGTGGTTACTATTATGATTATCATCTGCTCCGTGTGTTTTGTTCCTAAAGTCAGAGATTTCTACTCTGTTAGATAAGAATCCAAAGAAAAGAGCCAGCTGCCTCTTCCGTCTGCCATATCCCAAGAGTCACACCCAAGGTCCCCATGTCCTCTGGCCATCTGATTACACTTGCATCTTGTTCCTCTGTGGTATTTCTCACACTTGCCTAAAAGTCATAGCCTTTGCCTTTGGGCTAATTACAATCTTCTGTATACTGGTATACTTCCACACAAAGGTATGTCAAGGCCCTGCTGTCCAATTATAAGATTTTGCTGGCTCCTTTCATTACATATTGTTCTCACTGGTTTTTATTTTAACCTATTTGCCAGGAAAAGAAAAAAGTTCAATGGTGCCAAGAATAAAGATTCTGAGAAGTAGCTAGAGCACAGGGGCTTCCAAAGGTATAAAACAATGTGAGAATTCTTCTCTAGCATGGTCTACTTCACCTCCTGAAAAACAAGCTTAACAGGATCTCACCTGGAGTGTCTACGACATCTTACAAATTGCCATGGAAAAGCTGACCTTAAAGCAAAGGGGTGGCTTTCCACAGGGAAATGTTGGCCATGTGGCAGACAACGGTCAGGCTAGAATGCAGTAGAAGTCTTCCCTTGTTGCTATGTAGAACAATGCTGCAGTCCTTCATCCCATCTTTCTGGCAAGATCACACAAGAGATGTGTCTTACATTTTGAATACAAGATCATGTGGTATTTGGTGTGCATATTTTTCAATGTTGATCCCCTTTTCTATGACCTAACAAGGATTTATTGAAAATCTGTTATGTCTCAGACTTATTACTAAAGGTTTGCATATCTTATCTCATTTAATCCTAAAACACTATGAGATAGTTTTCATTAGTCCCATGTTACAAACGAGAAAATTGAGGCTAATAAAAATCAACAATTTGCCAAAAATATAGTCATTAAGTGGTGGAGAAGAGAAAAGGTCCATTAATGATAGTCTCCAAGCTTTTAAAAAGCAAGCAAGAATCTTCTAATAACTTACTTTTATAACAAAGTATGTGGCTAGGTATGCAAATAGGTATACTACATGTAATAACTGACTTCATATAAATAACCATAAATGTATGTATATCATATGTACATAAAAATGTGGGTATGTTCTTAGGAAAAATGTAAAAATTAAGATAATGTTTAAGAAATTTACAAGAAACTGTTTTATTCAAGGGATAGGCAGCATTCACACGTACACTGCAGGATGTCATTCCTAAGGTTGGGGTGAGGGGAGCCTGCCTATCTGGCAAGAAGCAGGTTAGAACATGGATTTTGAATGAGAAGTGAGTTATCAAGTCCTGGCTCCACATTAACATGGGAAAGTGACTAAACCTGCCATGCACTGGGGCATCTTCATTTGTAAAATAAATGGTTATGTTAGGCCAGTGGTTTCCAAACATTGGCCTGTGATCGATTTTTCATTAGTCTGTGGGAAAACGAGAAAAATAACAATAGGCTTACTTATGAAGGTAAATTTGTTTTATAAATCTGTTAAAATGGTTTACTTTTATAAACACTGGGCATTCTCCCCTGTTTCTTTTGAGCATCCTCACATAGCAAAATTCAAGTAAGCCTTCTATAATAGAACCCTGATATTAAAGTATGTGTGTATTTGTGTTGGTCCATAAATCCAAAAGTCTGGGAATCACTAGACTAAGTGATGATGAATGTCTCTTCTAGCTCCAAAATTCTAACCACTTCTGAAATCACAAATAGTATTTAATCAACTCTAAAGTAGAAGGAAGAATAAAGGTAAAAGCTTTTACTCATTTTTTCTTTCTTTTTAAACAGCATTTCCCTAATGTGTCCTGTGACAGACAGACCCCTGCTAAGATATTATAGATCTTCTATGGAAAAGGAGATTCTTAGTCAAATGAGTTTGAGAAACAATGATTTTGAAAAGTTGGGCAGGTTTTTTTTTTTTTTTTTTTTGCTGAGAATATGCAAACTGCTAACACTTACTGTGATCCCACCAAAAAGACTCCCCAAGTTATTGACAAGAAACAGCTGCCCTCACCCCAAACTCTACCCATTGTAGGACAGACAGTACACCTATGACTTGAGCATAGTTTGAAAAAGGCGACTTCAGCTAAACGGTCCTCAGTAGCTTTCAGAATAAAGAAAAAACATAGTTTAAAAACAAAACTTGCCATTACTTTTATAATTATTATAATTTGCTGGGGTTTTTTCTCCAAATTATGAAAAACTACAAATATTTTTTAAATTTACAAAAGAAATCTGAATGAAAACACTTCGGATTAAAATGCAATAAACAACAAAAGCTTTGTGGCCATTTTTGACAGCTACGTTTTTTTTCTTTGCCGTTATAAATAAAGAAAAATTGTGTCAAGAGATTTGTGTCTAGTGATTGCAACCTAATAATTAAAGCACTGGGATTTTGTGGAAGTTTGCAGTAACAAAGTTATGGCTAAATCAAACTATGTAAAAAATAAAAAGTAAAATAAAAGCCATCTGCAGGTATCAAGCCTGAGAAAACCCCCATATTCTACACAAATGATATGCCACTGTTAAAATTCCATTAATAAGGGCAATTAACTCTGAATACTTGTGGCTCATGATTGATTTCTTTAAATCACAGTTTTTATTGTGATCAAGGAGCAAAACTCTTGGTAGAAAAAGATCTAAGAGTGTTTTTTATTTTTCTTTAATTGTTCGATCAGAGTTGAGAAGGTTTACTTACTCTTTTCTATTGCTGTTCACATCATCATGTGAAATATCAACTAGCCAAATGCTTCAGCCTTCACAGGCTGGATTCAAGTTTCACTTTACCCACCAAGGAAAGAACAGTTTTCACTTGGGACAAGATGATCCTGGAGCAGACTACCCAGAGAGAGGACCCAGGGATGATCTTTTGGATATTCTGACACCAACAACCTTCCTTTCTGACTTTAGACGCACCAGGTTCTTTACAAGCCTGCAGCTCGACAATACCTCTGATGTTTCCATCATGACTGTACGGTCAATTCCAGCCTGTTTTTCATAATCCTGCTGACTACAGCAGTCTGCAACCATAAAAAGCCTTCACAGACCTAGAGTTGGCTTAGAAAATTGCCTCTGCAGAGGAACAAAAGTACATGCAACATTTGTGTTCAGAGACGCAAGGAGAGAGGAAGGAGCCTTTTGTTTTGAGTCGGATGGGCTCAAAGGGTTGTTTGTAAGGGCCTAATTTTAGCAAGTTTAATTTTCTTCTGATAACATTTGTAAACAAAATACCAACACTAAAATGAGAGCAATTTAGCCAGGAAAAGGGGGAGTGTCCTGTCCAACAGATCAAGCCCTCTTCCAAACTCCACCGGAGGGCTGTCTGCAAATTAGCACACAACCATACTTTGGATGTATGGAGTCCCTCAGCCTCCTAGTCACCAGGTATGTTTGAGGTTCACACCAAAGATTCAAGGTTTCAGAATTAGCTTCTTTTGAATCTTAAGCTAGTACTGATTCAGTCTCTGGGGAGGAGGATAAAAACACCAAACGACTCTTTTTAACAGACTGTAATATCCATTTACATAACATGATTCAATACAAAAGTACTATAGTTTGAAAGTATGCAGTTCAGGCTCTGATGAACAGCTGCTCAATGTAATAAGTTGGCTTTCATTTTTGCAATCAAGAGCTGTAATTGAAAAGTAAGTAACAGGAAGGGAAAGTAAAAGTTTAAGCGACCCCTTCATACATTTGAGCTTTGACTCTGCGTAATAACTCTATTCCCCACATTTGGTAAAGCAGATCATATTTAAAATCAACATTTAAAAATGACTCTATCTTAATATTATTTTTAAAACATAAAACATCAGGCTACTTGCCTTTTGGCAATTTCTGTGCATTTCCCAGGACTAGTGTAATACTTCCACAGAGAAGTAGGCACCCCAAGCTGGAGAGCATGTTGCATTTGCCACCTCGCACGGGGAAGGATGCTGGTGGGTGCCTCGCAACCCTGGAGCTGCATTTAAGTGGACTGTCTCCCAGTGACAGAGGCGGGCGGCTGCACTTAGCTGTGCCGTGGGCTTACTCACAGGGGGTGGAGACAAGATGACATCACACTCTTTCCCACACACACCAAAAAAAAAAAAAAAAAAAAAAGTACAACAGCAAAAACGTATCATCACATTTCTTTCTTTCTGCTAAGTTATAACTGTGTCTTTTCCCTCTGTGATATAAAAATTGAAATTCTGGCAGATCTGTATTTAGGAAAGAAGCATTTAGGCAGTTTTGAAACATTTGATGAACTATTTCATAGAACCCAGAAATGACATATTAAAAATTATTAAAATGTTAAAAACATAAAATAAAACCTTATTAAGAAGGAAACTGCTTTTAATTATCCAGTAAACCAACCCAATTCTTTTAAATGGGAGTAAATTCATAAAAATATACTTTGAGACACTCTGTAGTTCCTGTGTTATGAAAAACATTTAAGAGTAAGTCTTTGGCTACAAAGCTATGCATTATGTATAATACATACACGTATACACATATGTTCTACAGATGTAGATGCAGAGATATAGAGCAATATTGCTAGTTGAGCCTCAACTATGGACTGAGCTCTGTAATAGAGTCTTTACCTACTTTGCGGTATTTTAATCTTCATAGTGCCTCTGCAAGAGATATGGTATTAACCCCATTTTACCATTAAGAAAAACTGAGGGGCAAAGGTTAGGCATCCTGACAATGCTGGCATACTCCACTGGTTCACGATGGATGCCACTTACTAATGAGATGCCCTTGAGCAAACTTCATCTCTATATTATCAGTATTGATGATATCTAAACGCTTACTCCAATTGAATCTGTTTACACATGTTAAGACATTTATTCCTCAAAACAGTTTAGGAGGCAGGCATTGCCATCATCCCCATCTTACGGATAAAGAAACTGAGCACAGAGAGGTCAAGAGAAAGCCCAGGGTCACAGTGCCGGCATTTCAAGCTGGTCATTTAACTCTAGTGCTTCCACTCCTAATTACTAAATTTTAAATTCTAAAATAGCGAGGACAGTACCAATTTCATAAATTTGTAGCAGTGTTTTGAAAGTGGTTGCCATAATGGCTGACACACAGGAAGCATTTACTAAGTGGCAATCACTGAAAACAAGAAGAATGACAATGATAAGCCCGCAATTCAGTAGAAGTATAATTCTAAACTGGGTATATTTACCTCTGAGGTCCACATGTGTCCTTTTCCCCCACATTGCATTGCTCAAAATACATAGCCATGAGGGTGGAGTGGCTGCCTTAATCAAGTACTTTAAACATTGTTGGTATATTTATACTGACGCTTTAAAAATAGCTTACCTCATTGGGGTGCGGTAGCTGAATCAAAAACAGTAAGAGAAAAATTAAATAACACTGGTCAAATGAGATTCTAGTTAGGAAACTTACAAAAAAAAAAAAAAAAAAAAAAAAAAAAAAAAAAAAAAAAAAAAAAAAAAAAAAAAAAAAGAAACATCAAAGAGACAGCCCCATCTTCCAAATAAAGCGTGAGAAGCCACCTTGTTAAAGTCATTTAGAGCTGGCTGGGTCTGGGCTCTCACCGTAGGAATGCCTTGGCACCGACTAGAGGAGGGACGGGGCTATTTAACAGGTCTTTTTCATCTTTGATTTTTCACTTGAATAGGCAGCTCCCTCCAACCCACGTTAGGACATTTATCCAGCTGGCACCGCTCGTTCTGTTCCTATATGCCAGTGCCATCACGTTAAGCCAGTGAGGCCACTGTGTTAGTAGGAAATGACAGGTTTTCTGAGGGGAACAAACCCAGCAGAAATATGGAAAAGAAGGCTGGTTCTTCCAAACGTTTCTGAGGGGCTGGCGTAAGAATTAGGTGACGAAATTCAGGAACTGGCCTCTGCTTGGGCAGCAGGTAAAGTCCAATCCACCTTAGCAATCGTTATTTTCAGTTTTGCAACTGACTGGAGGCTAATTAAACGAAGCACGATGTCTAATTATTGTGTCAGAAAAAAAGATGGTTGCATTATCTTAGCTAGTAGGACGCTTGAGCATTCAGTGAAGACGTCGCAAATGTTGTATTTGACCGGAGCGTAGAAAGTTACCACAAGACAAAAGTATGCCAGATTGCAGGGTCATTTATTTATGCCGGGGACCACAGAGGACTCACGTCTCTCCAACCTGTGGTGGCAACAGGAGGGTGCCACGATTTTTTATACCCGAAAAACCACCTTGGGAGTGGGGGTGAGGGGCGGGGATGGGGATGAAAAGGTTTCGGACATTTCAAGGGCTAGGGGACTCTGTGATTCACCTCCTGGGTGGAGACAAGGGCGGGGGTCTCCGGACATTCCAAGGGCTAGGGGATTCTGTGATTCACCTCCTGGGTGGAGACAAGGGTGGGGGTCTCCGGACATTCCAAGGGCTAGGGTACTTTTGTCATTCTGTTTGTTACCTCAGTGGTTTACAGAAGTCAGGATATACATTTGTTTACACATCGTCTGGGTGGTGATAGAAGTCACAGATTTTAGCAGTTACTGATAAGAAAAGGTAAGCAGCTTTACATAGTTTTGAGGAACAAACTGGCAGTTCTATTTACAGAGGCCAAGGACAGTAATTATTGTAAGGAGAATGGGGCAGCCATTTCAACTTACCTAAAAACAGTTTTGCATTTTATAAAATAGTTTTGCTCCGGTTCTGGCTCTAGGCCAGCACAATATCACACAAGTATTAGGGCTCTTCTCAGACTAGGGAGGAGTAACGCTACGGAAAGGAACCGCCCCTCTTTTTACTACGCTCTTTAGTGCCTAGACTATAAGATTGCAATAAATAGATGATGAGTGTCAAATGAAACAGAATTCATCAATTCCTGCAAACAAAGGGTTAGTTTAGATTATACCAGAGAACACTTGAGTATGACCTACAATGTACAGTTGTTGGGAGACAGTTTTTCAAAGGTCACTAATGTTTCTGCTCATCTTATGAGTGGAGGCACTAATTCCCCATGTTCCAGGCCATCCTGTAAAGTATAATTGCATATAAAGTATCCTTGGAAGATGGAAATTTGTGTTCTGTCCCATGTAATAAAGGTAATATCTCCTTCTGGGGCAATGGGAATACATGATCACTTCCTTTGATAAAAGATTTCAGTTCTCTAAGCTTGTCATTCCTCTTCTGTAAAATAACCCACGGCACGTGTAGGTATCACCTGTACCTCTCTGTGTTATCCTGTGAGAACTGGGGCTCCTTGAACTAGTGCAAATGCTGATATTCAGGCGACTGCGATTGCTGTAATCAACTGTCTTTTCCTTTGTCTTTGACCCAGGTGTTTTGGGTCTCCTGCTAGCCCCTGTGAACTGTGTGTTAGGTTGCACACAGGGTAAAAATCTCAGATCCTTCACAGTTCCTGAAAATAGCACTGGCCCACGTTAAAATATTTTATTAAATAATGCTTTAGTATAGTGCACTTGGTATAACACCTATTATAAGAAGTCTCTTAACAGAATCAGCCATGAAACCCTAGATAGTACACAGTAAGAGTGTTGCTATACATTGCTTACTAAACCATATCTTAAAAAATAACAACCCCGGAGAAAACCTCTGACTGCTGTGTCAAGTATGAAAAGCTGTGGCTATTTTTCCTAAGCAACTGTATTTATTTTTTCACATTGTAACCAGGTTTCTCTTTCTGTGTTGACCGGTAGAAACTTAGAGCCAAATGCATCCCCCACCCATATTAAGTGTATAGGTCTTTGTGATGTGCATCTTTTTGACATAATTCTTGGCTTTATTTTTTGTCCCCACCCTTATTCCTTGCTTATTTTACTTGGAGTCTTAATTTATGTGATTTTATAAGTTGTTTTAATTTGTTTCTGGAGCAAAATGAGGTAAAACAAGCCCCAAACACAGATGTTGTGTCAAAAAACACGTGTCAAAAGCTATAAAGTGGGAATCTGGGAACCTGTTTTCTTTTCTTTGCAGCAGTAGACTCTGATAGAATTTTGGTACAATGATCGTATGCTATCGTTTTTAAGAAATACTTTCTCCTTGGGGAAGTCAGTGAAATCCATGAGACTAGAAGACATCTAGATCACTGCTCAAAATAAGTGTCATAGTTTTCAGTCATGCCATGTTTGATTTTTTAAGGGCTCAACATTAATTTCACTATTTCAAATGAGAGCTCTATTAAAACTCACACATCTCTCAAATCTTGGAAGTCAAGTCAACTCCGTGCAGTCATTTAACCTATTCACCCACATTTTTAGTCTCTCCTCTAGAAAGCATTATGCTAGGAGATTTTTTAAAGGCTTGTACGTATGCAATTTCTATTTGAAAGTATGCTGGGGTTTTTCTAAGGGATGCTAATAAAAATAATTTTAATATGATTCATTTGACATAAAAAACTCAGTGTTCCATGTTTTCATCCCAAATCTTATTTCTTTAATCACTTTCCTGAACCACATCCATACAATTGGACAAGTGTCCTGCTCCAGTGGAGGTCCATTTGGTCAGAGCACAAAGTTCTCCTCCACAATTCCTCTTACATCACCAAGATGCGCTACCCCTTACACACCCAAGTGATATTTGCAGGTCATTCTTCAGTTTCTCTAAGGCATCTTAACCTCTAAATTTTTGGCTTCATAACCTTGAGGTAATAAACAACTTGTACTTATAAAACAGTGTAAAGGATCTATTCACCTAGAAAAAAAGCTTATTTAAGACCTAAGTTGAATGTCTCTAAGCTGTCAAATGTGCCTTCCTTGTTTTGTCTAGATTCTGCGTTCTTCATGGGGATGCCGAGTACCTAGCTGAACTTGTCCAGGTGAAGGGAATATGTTTTTCCTTAAGCTTCAAATGATGTAAGAATTGATGGAATCAAGCGCTGAGTGACAAACATGTTAGTAAACCGGAGATGGGACTCTGAACAGGAGGATATGCCAGAGGAGGCTCCGGAAAGTTAGATTACTGCATCAGGGAGTCTGAGAGCCTGAGGCGTGCAGGTGTGCAGCAGCATGTTGAACAAGTAGGTGGATGGTGGTCCTGGGAACTTACCTAGGACCACTCCAATTCAACTCG